CCCCCCCCCCCCCCCCTTGGGGGGGGGGGGAATTCTGGGAGTTGAAGTCCACTCATCTTAAAGTGGCCAAGTTTGGACAACACTGACCTAATGAATATTTCTAGTATTAATTATTATATGCCATCAAGTTGGTGTTGACTCTTAGTGACCACAGGGATAGATTTTCTCCATGAGTTTCTCATATGGAAGAATTTTATTAGGAATATGTTGGGGGTAAGGTTTGGTCTTATTTGGTGGGCTTGACAGGTCAGGAAGCAAGAAGCTTTTTATTGGCTCTGGGTTTACAGTCTATGACAATGCAACACATTTGCTTCTCCAGTTGATAGAAGAAAAGAAATGATGACATCTATTAGTTAATTTTAAATGGTACATGAGAATGTAAAGTTCCTTTGAGTTCAGCTTGACTTCTAGTCACTATATGGACATATCTGCATTATTTTTGGCTTAATTTTAACCTTTATCTATTTAGCCAATGGATAGAAGTATGTTCTTCCAGCACTGAAATCTGAAAGGAATACTTTTATGAACTTCTTTCTATGCTTTTACGGGTTGAAATAACATTTGAACTTTTCCTGGAAGCATTACAGGATGGGATATGGATGGAGGTCAACATGTCCCAAACATTGTTCCAAGCAGTTACCTGGAGCTGAGCCTGACTCGAAGGCTCCTAACAAATGTTGACGTTTCTTTGTTTGCTTTTTTGCAGTCACACAACTCAACAAGAGACCAACAAAACCATCACTACATGCACAAGTGCCATCCGACAGCTGTCTGAGGGCATCAGAAGCTCTTCCAGGGTAAGTAGGTTTTGAGGCTCACAAGTGAAACCCTGAGTGACTTCCAGAGCAATTTAGTGTTGGGTTCACATACTGCATTAACCTAAGAGTGGACAACCTACAGTGGAGGTCTTCAATAAGTTTTCAACCATCAGAGCCCTCTCTGATCTTATCTGCTGAATCCTGGAGGCACATTTTCACGCCAGATTAAAAATGTGGTGTAGTCCTAACATTTTTCCTGGAGAAGATCTGTGTGGTCCAGAACAGCTGACACCAACTAGATGGGACTGAATCAGTCAAGCCCTAAAATAGGCATATTACAGTAAAAATAAATAAAAGACCAAGACAGCTCCCAAACCCTTAATAAAATTCACATAAAATCCATGAGAGAAGTACCACCACTCACTTTGAAACCTTCTAAATTGTTCAGGGATGTCCTCTACCATCAAAAGGTTGCACAAACCTGGACTAACTGAAGTTTTATAAGGAGCTTTAGTGACGGGGTTCATTTCTAATGCTAAGGAGGAAACTGGTTTACAAACTAGGATAGCTGGCTTTACACAGCGAACTATATTATGATCTGTGAAACCGGCCACCAAGGTCACTGACATTTTCTTTGCAAAGGAAGTTGAGCTTGTTCTGTTTTTAAACATGTAGGCATCCAGAGCTAACTGCAAGGACCCAAAAAATGACAGCTGAAACACAAATTCCATCTGTCCCAAGGGCTTCTGTGAATTTTCAGGATGCAGCATACAAACCAAGACGTCTCGCTTTTCTCTCTTTTTTATTACCAAAACATGCACAGTAAAGCAACACAAGCATTTACTTCCATGTCTGAGCTGTATTCCTTTACGAGCCCTCCTTCTCAGCTTCCCACTCCCTGGAACTGATAACAATGGCCATAATGTAATAAAACACTGGGTGAATTAGAAGAAGGTCACCGAGCCTTTTTAAAATGAACTCTTTCTCAATGCCAGAGTAAAGCTTCCTGCATTTATAAAGCCTGCTTTGTCAGTGTGTTGGCTAAATATGAGCACTGATACTTCTCTGTTCTATCCCTATTTCCTTCTAAGAGTTAACCATACTAGCTGGAATTCTTTCTCTTGCTGATTCTTGGCAGGGGATGGACCCCCCCCCACCTCCATTCTCCTCCATCAAGACCATCTGTGCTGGGTAGATCTATCCTCAAAGGCCCCTCCTTTTAATTACTTTCCCCTGGATCTCACCCAGCTCTACTTCTGAGTGTCTTCTCCATCTTCTCCTCCACCCCACAACAAACCATCAGCAGTCAGCACCATCTAGATCTATCTTGGATTGCCAGTCATCTGAGTTAGCAAAGAAGGTGGAGGAAAGAGTGCTGGAGGTTAATTATTCTTCCCTCCACCTTCTTTGCTAACTCAGAAGTACCTCCCCTTTCTTTTATGGGCAAAAAATGCCTATCAGAAAGTTCCGTTAACTGTCCTACTCTCAGGGTTCTGCTGTCAACTGAAAAGAGCAGTGTCTCTTTGGATGTGTGAGTGTACATGACAGGGTGCTCCAGAGCAGGAAATCACACACTGCCCTTTCAAACTTGTCTCCTCAAGTTCACACGATATCATCCTTTCTCTCTCTCTTTCGGATGCCTATACTTAAACCTCTGAAAATTCAATTTTCTCAGTCAAAGTTGCTTATATTAAGCTACTCTTAAAAATAAACGTAGAAATGGATGCTGGTAAGGGTTGTAGTCTCATATGTCGAAAGGGCATCAAGGAGGCTGATGTCAGGGAGCATTAAGAAAATAAGACCATGTGCAAATGTCTGGAATCTGTTTTAATAGCTCAGAACTCTACCATTTCATTCCTTTCTCTCTCTCCTGTTATGTGCAATGTGACCTCATTGCACATGAAGATGCCATTCTGCTATTCTTCCATATGCATGAAGTTCTTGAAAGGGCCAGTGCCTTTCTCCTAGCCTGTAGCTACCAGCTGAATCCAAGTTTCTCAAATTTGGTATCTTCCACATGCATTGAAACTGTTCTTTCAAAAATTCCCAGCCATCATGACAACTTAAGGAATTCTGAGAGTTTTAGCTTTAAGAGATCTGAAGAGTGCAAATGTGTGGAAAACTAGATTAAATCTGCTAAAAGGGAAAAATGCCCTCAAATTGGATTTGCATCCTGGTGTTTCATAGAGATTGTTTCATGGATGTAACCACATCATTTCCTTGGCAACAGTACACCAGTGGTTTGCCATTTTTAAAATTTAATTTTAATTTATTATTAAATTTGCTGCCTGACTCCCAGTAACTCTGGGCAGTTGGAAGAAATGTCTGCTGCTAAGACATTTTCTTGACTTTCTAGTCTAGTTTATAGCCTGCTAATCTCCCATCCGTGTGATGACCCTACTACCCTTCCCAGAACAGAGATTAAAGAAGCTACTTACCCCCCTCCCCCCAAAAAAAGATGTTGAGGAAAGCTTGCAATGATCTTTAAAAATGTGCTAACAGAAATTATAGTGGAGGGGGTTCTTTTCCAACTCTTCTCGTAGAGACACAGCAAGCTGAATGGCCAAATGAAAGCAAGAGAGAGAGAAAAAAATAAAAGATTTCTTATTTATCTCAAAATCTTTTATCAAGATACAGGAAATTGGCTGTTTCTCATATATCCAGAGTCATGTTCTGAGACAAATTGGGTCCAGTGGGGAGGCAAATGAAGACAACCACCATGCCCTACTACAAAGCAAGAAGTAATAAAAATAGAAATAAAAATAAAGGACTAAAATGTAACAGCTCCTGACCCTGTAATGATATTGCACTCATCAGGATCAGAAACAGCCAAAACTACAAGAGGAAAAATTGGACTGCAACCATCTTATTTTCTGCTACTACTCCTACCATTATGACTAAACAACAACAACAACAGGTGTTTGTGAAAAAAAGAAACAGTAATGTTCCAAAATGAGACACTGTTCCATCTTAACAACCTGTAAGATTTTCTGATGCTTTCTTTTTAATGGATTGTTTGGAGTTCCTCTTCCTCCTCCTCCGCAGTCCTTAAATAATTACAAATCTTGATGTCAAATCTGTATTCTTTCTCCCATCTACAAAGTAAGTTGGTCTGTTGAGCACTTATTCTTGAAACTCTATGAACTTTTTCCAGAGTAGAGCATCATTTCTTGACTCTAGACTTACAGCTAGTCTTTTTCAAACCCATTCTCCTTCATGAGTTTGGAGGAAAAAAAGGCAATTTTTTATCTGAAATCACCTCTGAGAATTAAATCAATCATGATACACTAGACCTTCAGTGGGATATGATATGGAAGTAGAACATAAGTGATCAATAATCTTGTGACACCTTAAAAACGAATGAATGTATTCTGGGACACAGTTTTGTGATTTGAACAAAATCCTCACATTCAAAAATCCTTTTGCATATCTTTGATTTGACTGAGCAATGAATTGAATAGTTATTGGGGATATGTAAGAATTTTTGAAATACACCATCAAACTTTGTGGTCTGAAATTCATCTTTAAATCTTTCTCTAGGCCACTAGTTGTCTTTTTCTGTTTTGTTTTTTAATTAAAGCACATTTCTTTTATAGTTTAAAACAGGTAAAAGTCATGTCAAAGGAGTCTAAAGTTAGTTTAATGTGGCCCAGCATTCATAGTCACATTATGAATGCATTACTATATCAAAACTTGTCAAGATTTTGCTATTGAAATGATAATATGAATAAGGATAGATTGAATTGTCCATTTCAGATACCTGAAATATCTTTAGCATGTCTTGGCCTTTTACATTCTTCTTAATCTAATATTTACACCATTGTGCATATCTCATGTTTGACAGATACTTACAGACAGATAACCTGAGAGATCACCCTTTTCTCTCACAAATCATAAAATATTCTAGTCCCAAGCCTCTTTATCAATGTACACTTTCATGAGATGGATTTACATAAGTAAAATATTCTTCTATCAAATCTTTCATCAATGTAAATTTTCTTGAGATAGATTTATAGAGATAAAATCCTACTCCCAGTTATTGAACTATTTCTGCAATATCTTACTTAACATCTTTTCAAGCTGCTGGAGCATAAGCTGGAGAAATAGAAGGATCTTTGGCAAGGGAAGAAAATGCTGGAGAAATTGCAAGGCAATTGTGGTCACAGCCTGTGTAATGCTAATGATGGTTAGTTTGTAGTAACAATATTACTTGCTTCATCTGCTCCTGTTCGTCTCCTGAACCATGTTCATTGGGCTCTAGGAATTACCCATGATGCATCTGGGTGAAAGGTTGGGATTGAGAGCGAGATTGCTTACAGTCACAATGGAACATTTTACCACGAGATGTGACGCTGGCTCAAGTTATGGAGATCATTGGTTCTTAGCCTTGATGGCAGGACGACTGTCTCTGAAGGCCATCTGCTGAGAGACTCATGGGCTTCCTTGGACAGGTGTGAGAACTGACTGCTGGACTGGAGGGGCCAAGGGTCTGATCCAACAGGGCATTGCTTATGTTCTTATATTACTAACAGTCAGAAATGGGAGAAAATGATAATATCACATATTGGTCTCGGAAACCTGGTCTTGCATTCACTTATCTGAGCAGAAAGTTCACTGAGAACATTTAGTTCAAGGTTCGTTTTGATCTGTTCCCACAATCCACTGGTTTTAATGCAGATATTTAAAGCTGCTTGGATTTCCATTAATTACATCTGTACCAACACTGTGTTATAATGGGAACCTTTTGAAAATTAAATTACTTCCGAAGATCTGGAGGACGCAAACCAGCTTTGACCCCATGGTTCATGAATTTCAATATTGCTTCTTATTATTCATCCAATTCAAATAGTATTTATAACAAGATTTCGTTTTTTATTGTTGCTGAAAGCTGGATGAGAGTTACAAATTTCACTAGGGAAGACAAATCAAAATAAGCCAGGTTAGAAGCCACTGTTGGCATTGTCAGCCTACAGAATCAGTAGATCATGTTGCTTCTGCTTCATATGGTTTCTCTTGTTGCCTTGTCCAGTATTGATTGGCTACTAATGAATAGTGAATTAATGGCATGGATAGATAAGTAAATAAATGCATAAATATCTATATGCATAAAACAATCCATATAATGCATTGAACAAACAAACAAGAAGTTGTGAAAGGGCATCTCTTTATTTTCTAGGTATTTGGTAGTAGAGAATTCTTTAGACTTATTTTGGTGGCATAAATCAGGCAAGAGATTGTAAATGAGTTGGTAGGTGGCATTCACTTTACTTCCCCCCTACTGCAATCTCTATTCACCTCCCACCCGATGAGCTTTGTTCTATGATAAGAAACTGAAAAAAACTGGGAATATTTAACCTTGATAAAAGAACTATAGCAGCACTCTGCAAGTTTCTGAAAGGGAAGGTTCTCTGTGATGACAGACTGTAAGGTCCAGCATAATTGATTTAAGCTACAAGAAGATTCAGATTAATTGTTAGGAATAACTTCCTAGCAGTAATAACAGCTGGAGAGTAGAACCAATGATCCAGAGAACTGGTGGGCTTCTCTTCCTTGGATGGGTTAAAAAGTAGGCTGGACCACTACCTGTCTGAGATGTTTTAATTTGATTCCTGAACTGGATGTAGGTTGACCTTGATGACCTTAGTGTCCCATCTAAACTCTAGGACTCTATGAAAGGGAAGTGCATAGCTTAGTGGTGAAGCATTAAAAGATTCTAGGTTTTGTCTTCATCATCTTCAGACTGAAAAGCAGATGATAAGAAGGACCTCTACTACAGTTCCCAATCTCGTGTCCTAGATGTATGTTGGAATCACGCACACCTAATTCGCCGTCACTGGTCATACTTAATGATCATTCTGAGAGTTGTAGTTCCACCATATCAACAGAGCTATCTACATAACTTCAGCTTAAGAATGGCTGATCTAGATAATTGCTGTTGGTCAAAATATCAAAATAACAATGGATAAGAGCGCAGCTCACTTTCTAAATAATTCACATGTTTTCTGTATTCTGTTCCCTAGAACAATCCAATGTAAGTCCGAATGTGAATTCTGTTTACAGCTGTGGTTGCCAGCTTGCAAATTCAGAAGGATATATTTATTAACCTATCACAGAAACAAAGGAAGGGAGTGCTCTGGCATTGAAACGTCTAGCAAATTTATGATGTTATGGGAACCAAGTCACTTCTTCAATATATTGATTGGCTAATGTACATGTGTGCAGGTCTGCTTCTTATGAACCTAGGGTTCCTAATTCCAAAGTTCCCAACAAGGATGTGTAAAATGATTCCTTCAAAACATTTTGTATGCAAAATACCCTGAAATGTCCTGTTTCAAGGGGAAAACTATTGTTTGGGGTTTGAAAATAGGCCATCTTGCACATCATGGAAGTGATTCAAATAGCTGTTTTGATTGCTTCCAAAAGTGCTTGAAATAGCCCATTGTATGCACAAATCAAGAGATTTGCCCTTAAACCAAGGTGTTTGGCAGGATTATGCATAAAGAACATTTCAGGGTAAAATATTTTATGCACTCCTATTTTCCAGCTTTGCCTGCCTGGCTGTTGTTAAGCTGCAGCTAATGTCTTCCCTAGCCACCATGGTTAATGGCCAGAAGTTATGGGAGTTGAAGAAAAACTGAAGATCTAAGATTGATGGCCACTGCAGGTTTCACAGGGCTAATGGAGAAATTTGAAACATGTCTCTGTACTTAAACTCAGTACTGGGACAACCTATTGCCAGGAAATGATGCCAAAAAAATCATTACTGAACCTTATAAAGATTGGATTAATAATTCATTCGCATAACTTGCCACTGCCCTATCTTCTCAGACTTGGATCCTTATCTGTGCCACCAAAACCTTCCATGCAAGTGCTGATTTCTCTTGTTCAAAAATAAGCCACCAAATGTGTGTTTACCCCGGATAGCCCTTCTGACTTCCATATTCATCTCCAGCTTCAGTGTAAATGAAATTCTCTATTTGTCTTGAGAAGGTACATCCTTGTTAAGCCTCCAATCATTTGGCAACAGCTCGTCCAATAATTCTGTACATTTGGTCTGGGAACACCATTCAGGCAGCTGCAATGGCAACATGTGTCTTGAAGCATCTGTGGATGGTACACACCAAGACGCCCTTGAGGGTTTACTGTGCTAGGAAGGAAACGGAATGTACTTCTCTAATCTTTCAATCTTTGGTATTTTAAATAATGAAATCTGAAATCTTAGTCATACCTTATTCACTGATAATGAGTATTTGTTTGATGAGAGCTCAGATAAAGGAAGATTTGGCCCAGGAAGATCCTCAAGATGGTTCATAAACATCTGCCAAATGGAAATCAATTTAAAAACACATCCGTCTCTAAAAAGAAAAGACCACAAAAACTCATTGAAAAATTTGATTGTTGCACTACCCCAAAAGATTTCCATAGCAAAATTGTTTTTGTTATATCACCAGTTCTATTTTTTTTTTAAATGTTACCTGTCCTCATATATTTCATCCTGCTTGTTTTAGATTGAAGCGCATAGGACTAAGGTCAACTAGAAATCTTGTCAGCTAGAAGGTTTCAGTCCTTTTCTGGCATTCTAATCAGTAATGTCTCCCATTAGTTTCCTAAAGGTCAAAAGAGACAGGTAGGTCCAACCATTAAGGGATAATTACCCAGGAGAAGGACACCTACAGAAAACACTGTTCTTGATTGGACCTGTGACTATGTGAAAACATTCTTAGTAGACATCCTAGATATAGAACAGTGAGTTGTATGAATAAAGCTGTTCCTGCTACCAGTTTTATTTGGGTATCCTCACCAGCTGCATTGAGTAATTCACCACATTAGTAGATACTTATTTGAAGAAAATAGAGGAGTTACAAAAACACTGACCTCCAGAGGTAGAGGAGGGTTTTGGTTCCCATCCTGAAGACTGACAATACCCAACTCACCCAATGGTCTTATAAAGAATTGAGGGCTTAGCCTTTCTTTGTTTATCTCTGTATGATTATGGTAAGGCATGTTAAGGTGCTGACTGTGTTTGCTCATGTCTCCCTCTCCATCTCTCTGTCTTATACAGCAAGAACGACTTCAGTTAGATCGCCTGAAGAACCAACTTTCTGATGCCATTCAACGATATGGAACGATACAAAAGGTACAAGAGACAGGAAGGATGCTGGAATAGAGAGGAGTCCATTGCCATCTATTTCTTTATAAAATTTTGTTGACAACTTGGTTCTAAAGGACAGTCTAAATTGTCCTATGCACATCACAGCCCTGCTTAACACCTCATCCTAATGATGAGAATCTCATGCTGCAGAACCTCTACTGCCCTATGGAGTGCCACAAGCCTATAGAGGGGAGCTGGTCCTGAAGGGGCCTTAGTGGTGCATGTGTGTGGGGGTGGGGGTGCATGTGTGTGTGAAAGGATGCCATAGACATCTTAAGCTGCACAAGATCATGTAACATCCCTTTCTCAGCTTTGTAACTCATTCAGAAGGCCCCCGTTCTGCTCCTACAAATACCTCTGCACCATAAAAACAAATGTTTCTGAGTATGCGCAGCCCATGGGTCATGTTATTGCACTTCCACCCTAAGAACTATAAGTTCATTGTCAATGTGAGCCAGGACTCTGTGTTGTGAAGCAGGCAGTGTAGGGAAAGAGTGGTATTCTGTCCATCCCCATATATCATACTTTGAATATTTCTTTTAACCATGTGGTCTACACTGCTGTAGAGCCTTCTGATGTATAGTGGCAATCTTATCTACTAAGCCTAAGGTCAGAACTTCTTCCTGAAAGCAGAATGTTTTCTGGTTTGGATTGGCCTTCTCTCTCCAACTTGGTCCTACCCACCCACCTGGACAGGGAGAACTATCAAAAGTTTGCAATGAAGTTAGATCTCAATGTGCAGCTTCCCTATTCTGTTATCCCCAAGTTAGGGTAGACCTTAACTCCCACCTTCCCAGATAACATGACCATCCTCAACCAGCATGGGACAAACTCCAGCCTGTCTTCAGAGTGCAAGGTTGGAAGAGTCTGTTGATTTGTTAGAAGGTGGATTACTTCCTTCTGACACTACATTCTCCCTGGGCATTGCCCACCTCTGTCTCTATTAGAATTAATGTAAAGACTTCGGCTTTTTATTTTGCTTGGGTTCATTTCCCCCCAGCTTCCAAGGTTCCATGTACATCATGTTGAAGCATCTGGAAGCTTTATGCGTTACCCGGCCACTATTTCAGCCAGCAAGAACAGTTTCTTTTGTTCCTTATGTGCTGTCTCTGGTGCAAAACATGTGATTTTCTACCTATATATTTATTTTTTGTAATACATTTCACTGTGCCCAAATGATCCATTGCAAATGGCCTGGTGGGATCAGGAGCTAGGATGGAGTGGCAAATTGGCACTTCCTCACACTCACAGCTGTCGCTTTTTTCAGCACCGAGTTTGCTTTTGAAACCCTGTCCTTGAAATTTAAATTTCTCAAAAGCCTTTTTAAAGCTTTCCCATAATGCTGACTCATTTTTCCCTCTATTTCTTGGGGGGGGGGGCAAATGAGTACTGTAAACAAATTCTAAGGCATCTCAGCTCTATCCTGATAAATGATACTGTTGGTGCTGTTATAGTAATAGTTATTATTATCATTATTCCATTGTCATTATTGTTATTATTATTTCTGGATTGGCAGAAAATTGCAGAGAAATCCAAAGCTCTGTTTCCAGTCGGGCAGAGAAGTAGAAAGCAGGTAAGTACCGTTTTATTCAAGGAGAATGATTTTCAAACTCCTTGGTCAACTGTTAATTTCCTTCTTGATTGTGTTCTATAAAGTTTTATATGATTCAAAGTGCTTTGGGTTCTTTTATTCCTTCCCTATGAAGGGATTGACAGCCTTTTCTCATCATTCTTCCCCATATCAAAGCCTGAAACACAAGATATTTTAAATCTTTATATGGTAATAAATGAGACTGGAGGTAAGTTAGCAGCACTTAAGGAAAGCTGCAAATGCAAAACTGACCCTAGATATTAGTTAGAAGCAGATTATTGTTTGTTTGTTTGTTTGTTTATTTACTTATGGGACTTATATGGCTGCATATCTCATATGATGACTCACTGTAGGCATCATCATAAAAATCCATATAAAGCATAGTTTAAAAAATGCCCTTGAAGTGAGAAATACATTCAATACAATCTTGGTATGTTAGAGAAATGGGCTGAAAAGCATAACAAGGACAATGCAAAGTATTTCACAGGAGATCAAACATGTAGGTGTCAAGTGGGATAAACCTGGTTTGGGGACAGTCCTTGTGAAAACAGTTCTGGAATAGTATATTACACATTATGTGTCACCCGTCTGATCTAGCTACCAAGGAAAAAAAAAAAGGGGGGGGGATACAGATTTAGGCTGCACTAACAGAAACATAGGTTTGAAAACACTAAGGAGAATAGTCCCCCTTTATTATGTGTTGGTTGGTTAGACCCTACCTTACTATGTTGAGTTCTGGAGACCACTGTATATGAAAGCTTCAGAGGAACTGGAAAAGGTTCAGAGAAGCAACAAGGATGATTAGAGGAATAGAAACCAGGTCCTGTAAAAAGAGATGGAAGGAATGGGAGGTGTTAGTCTTGAGAGCAAATATCTAAGGGTGGGGTTATAATAACATATTTCAAATACATGGAAGGTTGTCCCACAGAAGAAGGCCAACACCTGTTCTCCATACCTCTGAGTGCAGGACCCAGAATGATGGATTTAAACTAGAGGGTGGCAGATTCCAGTCAACTGTGTGGCGGGGGGGGGGGATATAACAGCGAAATCAGCTTGACAGTAGAACCCATGATCCAGAGAGCTGGTGGACTCCTCTTCCTAGATGGTCTCAGGAGCCACATCCAATACCATTATTTTGAGATTGTCTGATTCTGTGCATTCAGAGGCATGGAAAGCTGGCCTATATCAGCTGAAACTACTCACCTATCTTGTCTGTTATTGTCTAACGTGATAGACACATTTTGGCAGGACCTCAGGAGGAGATTACACCCACACACACACACACACACAACAGTAGCTGTGGGTCCATTGAAACAGATATTACTGCTGAAGGTGCATGATTGTCTGTGGGAGAAGTTAAAATCGGCAAGACTGCGAGTGTAACGTTGTGATCCAACCCCCTCCCTTTTGTCTGTATGCACAAAGGGCGTGGGGCTCGGGTTGCAGGCATGTGTCATCTTGTCAAGACGCACATGCACACACACATACACACACACACCCTACCTAACATGCTGCTGGGAAGGCATGTTCCATGCTGATGACTGAGCAACCTCCATGCCTTTTGGTCAATTGAGTGTAAATGTACTCAAGGGGTTATTGATGACCACCCTATTCTGCTTCAGATTGTCTCACAATAAGCACTCTTAAAGATGTCTGCCTTCCACACTGAGGATTGATCATCTTAAATTATCCCTCATTTCTTACCTATATATGAACTGTGTGTTGGAGAGTAAGCCCAAACAGGAAGGCAGGAAAAGATTTAGGCAAGTTCACGATGGATAAGGACAAAGATCAGATGAGTTAAAACTGTAGTCTTTCCAGCAACCATGCCCAGCAGTGAGACCTAGACACTAGGAAAGACTGAGAGGAAGAAGACGAAAACAGGTAGTTTATCTGTTGAGATAGTTAGCAACATGGTCTGAAAAAAGAGGCAGTTAATGAGTCGTGAATCAGAATAACGCTGACGGTTCCCTTGTGGCAATATTCATCAGAAACTCACATATTTTGGGTAAGTGATACAAGTGGCTGATGGATTAGAAAAAGTGATTTTGTCTGGCAAAGTTGAGGGAAGTAGAAGGGGGAGACAACAGAAAAGGAAAGGAAGTTCTGCGAAGTTCTTGGAAGAGCTAGAGAGTATTTATAAAGATAAATCAAAATGGTATTTGTGGAACTCAGTAGCAGTTAATGGGTGTGCATACATATGGAATTCATAACCAGTTCCTGCTACTATGAATTTTTCTTGTTCACATCACTTTTGCAGTGCTCAAAGCAAGCGTGTGCCGACTCTCAGCATCAATTCATCGTTAAAAATCTAAGTTTGCATAGATTCCTCTTTCATGCTATTTAACTTGTTAAAATAAAACCCCACCAGAGATAAACTCCTCTAAGTCCCAAGTGCTCTCTGGGCACCATTTGAATCCTAATTAAATATAGCTTAGGGAAATGTGCAGAAGAGAAAAATACCAATTTCAAACCCGATGGAATTGCCTACTCTTTTGAAGGCCTTCTCACAAAGGTGGGAGCTTAGTAAAAGAAGTTCAGTAGAAGTATGAAACATTGACACAAAGGCTCAGTAGAGAACAAATTATTCCTTTATTTCCTTGGAAAAGGTGAGAGTATACTTTTCTATTTTTTGCCATTTGCTCACAGCTGCCAGAAGACCCCTGACTCTAAACTTGGCTGCTGGATCTTGCTTGCTTGTCTCAGATTTCTGATTTCCAGCCCACACATACCCCCACCCCTTAATGGAGCTCCTGGGATGTCGTTAAATGCTGGTGTTTAACTCCTCAGGTAGGAACGCTGTCAAATATGTGAAGCTAATGGACCATTCGGATTCTGGAAGGGAAGGCAAATGTTGATTTGATTGTGGGAATGCTTCATGCAGGCCTGTGGAGAGCATGGTTGTACTGGACCAATAGGGAAGAAGAGGTGAAAAATGGACTGTCTATCCATAAAAGATGAGAAAGGCTTCTGAGGATGGAATTTGGTTTCATTCGTTCAAGAGGACTTCCATGCTTGTTTAAACAGATAGAGTCCAAGATCGCAAAGATTTAGAGATGGCCAATAAAATATTTCCATAGCTTGAAGAAAGACATATCACCACATCTAGCTTGACTTTCCTCTCTAGCCTATACAGACTTGGATAGTGGGCTGCTAAGTACCAACCCTGTCTGACCCTTCTTATTGTCTGAATCCTGACAAGATCAAGAGATGCTTCCAACCTGCTTTCTCTCTCTCTTCTACCCACCTGCAAACATATTTATGGGGGAGAAATATTACCTGTCTTAAAATTTACTGACCTCTCCAAAGTGTTCTATAAAAGCCTGAAATCTGTTATCCAACCTTATTGGAAGCATCTGAAACAGTGTGTGTCTGGAGAGGGAAGTGCCATCATTTTTAGGGAGAGAAATTGCATCCTATCCTGCTGGAGATCCAAGCAATGGACAAACTCTTACCCTCTGTCTGTAGGTCTACTGATAGATTTTCTTCCTGGATGGACATGTTTAGAAGTATGACCCTGATTCCTGGACCTTCTGTGGGGCTTCTCTAGCCAAAATGAGATGGGGAATGATTTTCCCATCTGCAATTGAAATGCATTTGATTAATTTGGAATGCGGGGAGGCAAGTCTCTTTGAAGAAATAATTCAGTATTAGCAACCCCATGAATGCTTGCATACCCCCTCACTCTTTTTGCTCCTTCATACGGCTCTGTTTTCCATTGTCTTGTTTTTCTTTCCTGAAACTCTCATCTTTTTCTATCTGGGTTTCTTCCAAATACAAGGTTCTGGAAGAAGGAAATAATAATAATACAAACATTTCCATGACATATGTCCCCACCTTTCTTTTAATAGTGCACCAAATAAAATATTTTCTGCCCAGAACCATTAATGCTTAAATTGTTGTTATTGACATAATGATGCCTTCGTTGCGAAACTCACAATGTAAATATGCTGGAGGAACAACCACAGAGTCGAAAAAAGAATATTCTTGATTCCCCAGGGGACGCACGCAAGACGGGAAGGAATGTGCATTATGCATGTTGTTCATCAACCATTTTTCAATAAAAGACGATTTCAGAACTGAAAGTGTTTTCTGCATACGAAACCTGGAGCTGGAAAACAAATTGGAAGTAGCGGGCAGAATATCCTTGGCAGCTTTTTATTAATCACGTTTTCTATAGCAATTAATTATGTGAACTTTTGTTTCATTAGAGAAATGAAGTGAGGAGGGGGCTAAACGGTCTCCCCGCTTTTTCCCCCTTAACCTCCAAGGCTGTTGTTTGAGAAATATGTCTTTGCATTCAAAAAGGCCAATTCATCTCCCCCCCCCCTCCCCGACCAATAAAGCAGAATACAAGGGTGTCTGCAGACAGATGGGTCAAGTTCTGCAAGATGGCTGATGCAACCAAAATCAGGACTTGTTTGTAGGTCTTTGTGATGCAAAAGCAGTGGGGCTTTCATTGCAATAATGCACCCACCATCTTGAAGATTTTGACCCCCTCCCCTGAAGACATCTGTCCAGGGATGGCAGTTTTCTCTGGCAGAAGAAACCATTTCCCTCCCAAATAATTAATTGGGAAGTACACAAGAGGAGAGGCCATATCCCGACTCTTTCTGGAGTTGTTTTCCCATTTTTCTTAAATCTTCTTCTCAGCTTCTCTTACAACAAGGAGTTAGAGAACTTCAGAAAGGGTCTCTTGTGTTTCTTTACTGTAACACCCTGCTTCCCTTTGATTGTGTAATGAAAGGGGAAGGAGGTGTCTCCTCTGCTCTTTGCCTATCGATTCGTAATCAGAAGAGAACTCCTGAGCCCAAGTGCCTTCAACTTCGTTTCAAATAAATCCGTACAAGGTTGTCGCTTCCAACTTTGATCCTGGGCTCCCGAGTAGGTGGGAGCAGGGGAAAGAAGGGAATGAGAAGGTGGAAAGATGACGTTTGGTTTAATTTAAATGTGAACCTATTTATGCAATAGGGACAATTTTC